CCTCGGTTGATTTTAAAACCTATGAAGCATGAGTAGATGTAGTTCTCGGCCTATCTGTTTTTCGACCAACTCCACGTTATCGACCTGTGAATCTGATTTAAATTTGGCAGAGTCTGAGAGGATCACGTTCATTTTCGTTATGTAGTCATCCTTATTCAAGACTACTACACCAGAAGCTTTGTCTCGTTTGGAGATTGTTATTGTGGATTTGTTCTTCAGTTCCTTCAATGCTTCCGTGTGCTCATTCTTTAGACAAGATTTTTGGTTGATTGGAGTGTTTGCAAATTGCTGGGATTAGGCTTTGAACCATGCCTCATTCTCAGCTGATGTTGGAGACAAATTTGAGAACTGTCTGTAGAGGTTTTCGAAATTGGCGTCCACCAAATTCTTGTCAATTCTTTTAGGTGGTACTTTGTACTTTAGTCCCATTGAAAGAGCTTCTAGGTAAACCTTGTCAAGATTGAAGTTAGATAGGTTGTGAACACGTTCTATGAGATGGTACTATCTCACAAATTATGTTTTCTCATTTCTCTGTTCAACCTTATCAAATAAAACCAGTTTTGAAGTAAGGGCGGGTTTGGAGGTATATGGCCATTGTGAACCGTACTACTCATAACTATGGAATTGCTTATCGGAAGCTATAGGGACTAAACCTTGTGCTGGTAAGCACCATCGTTGGTATGATCTCTGTTGAGGTGTTATACTCTAGTTATTTCCCTTGATGGCTAATTCATTTTCCATTTCAAATTCTGAAAAACAAGTATCTCTTCATAATGAAGAACGTTGTCATACCTTTAGATGAAATTCCATAAAAATAAACAGATGACTTATCCTACTCCGCTGAAACCGTGTGTAGAAGTAGATCACTTGATAGTTCTACTTAAAGCACAACCGTATTAGCCGAAAAATCCAAATAAGTAGGATTATTATATGCCTCATTCCATCAATTTTTTCAATTTCACTGAAAAACAGTTTAAAACAACGCACTATAGTAACAGTGAAAGCGTGGAATTTTCAAACGATAACGCATTCTTCATATATCTGGTATCGCAAACTAGATTTGCATTAATATAACGAAAAGTACATTCTATTTTTGATGCTGTCAACAAATGTGATTAATAAGGCGAGTCCTGCACACATATCTGAAGACCTAAGACGTAAATTCTATTACGAAGTTTAATAACTTATATTTAAGGATTTGGAGGAAACATTTTAATCAAGTACATAAGAGAACCTCATTATTTGGTTCAGAAAATGAGCCACAATATTTTGAGGACCCATTCAGAGAAAATACCAGCTATGACAGAGATAAAAGTCGTAGAGCAAGCAGTTGTTTCATTAACGAGTTCGCGAACAAAACAGTCTGCTGCATTCAACCAGAAAAAACAAGTAAATTGTTTGGACAATACCACTATCTTGTAGGCGGGTGATGCTAGTGAGGAATATGACCCAAAACAAAACAATTGTGAATCTAAACACGTAACATAAAATCGATTATGATAAATATTTAGACTGAATCTCATGAAGTACTAGAAAATGGAAATTCGGATTACATGAAAACCAAACACGAAAACACACGTGACAATGCCTCACAATCGGAAGAAGGTTGGTAGTACTTCATTTTTTGTCAAATATAGAATAGAGGACAAGAAATTAATGAATTCCCAACAATTTGAAAATTCAGATGAAAATCCTCCGAATCACGAAAACGGAGTAAGTTTAACTACTACAATATACACTGCAAGAAGGTGCTAAGGTCATTAATATCATCCAGTTGAGTGAAATTATGTATCGTACCAACGAAAAGTTTTAATGATAAATACCACAATAGAAAAATCAAAACCAAAGACTGATTTCTCAGATGAGACCAATTAGGAAAATTTTCCGTCACTAAAATTACATTTAAGTCATGTGAAATGTAGTATTCTAAATTACTCCTCACTGTGGCCTGCTAAAAGATCCATAACTAAGTATGTCTTGAAAAATAATCACACACATTCATTAATATGATGAGTGCTTCTCGATTTTTGGATTTCGTTTTAAGTTCAAACCTATTTGGCTTATACATTTTATGTATAGAGATACAAATAAAACACTACGAAAGCCAAATTAACAAATTGGATAGAAAATTTGTAAGATAATCAGTAAGATTACAATTAGACTGCAAATAGCGCTTTAAATATGTAAGTGGTAGGAATAAATAGAAACTCATGTCTTATTCCAGGTGGTACACGACATTTTTGATTTAATTTGGGTGTAAAACGTTTTCCGGTTTATAGATATTTATGTGAATACTAGCAGTACAAATACACGCAAATCTAACCACTACACATTTTTTAGAACATGGAAAATGAAAAGGTGGATCATCTGATCCAAATTGCCAAGGAAAGCACTAAAAGTAAAGAACAAGATAAGCAAAACAATGATGAAAATCCACTGTCGTTTAATACGTTGCAACGGCCTAAAGTAAATCCAGAATATCAAAGGAGACATTTAAATACTCCATGGTATACTAATCCTGAAGAAGGACTCGGTTCTGCAGATATGAGAAGATATAACTCAAGATTAGTGAAGTCGATACCAAACTCTGTACAGGAAGTTTCAAAATCTAAAAGTACAACTCAACAAGACTTTCCAAAATACTCTTCACAAGAGTTAGAGGTAAGTCAGGATTGTAAGAACTAGCAAATGATGATGAACATTATTGTAAACACTAAAAATCTGAACAGAAATAGATAAAAACTAAAACTTTATAAAATAGTTACTTGAAGTACGTGATTCATTGCCTAGCTAACAGTTAAATCTCTTAGATGATGACACTATCTATACAATTCTACCCGAGTTTCAAAAGTAATCGTGCATAAATATAGAAATGATGAATTCTGTGTGAATGAATAGGATTGCTCAGCGTATTTTTAATACACATATTGTTGCTCTTTAATTAATTCAACTGTAACAGTGACAAAAACAGATGTAAACAAATCATTTCTCAAGGATTTAAAAATTTACCTTCGGAATGCATTCGTCTGTCCGCTTGATAAACGACATAGAATGATGCTTCAATTTTTGAAAATAGTTATTTTTGTAGGCTATATTTAATGTTTTCTATTAAAGAGCTGATTTCATATTATACTGACTTTTGTTTAAGAACGTAGAAATGCACAGAAAGCTATCTACTTATTACTTAGATATAACAAAATATTAGTTGAAAATCTACTTCATTTTTATATCTACAAAGTATTTAAAATTGTCTTGATTTTTACTTTAAAATTTTCAGGAATGTAGGCAGATAAAACGTTATCACGGTAATAGAGAGTCAGTAGACTGGACTTTCAACGAAGCGGACGATAGTGGGAATCAAGAAGATAAACTAAGAAGATCACGCTATCATAGATCTTCAGCAGTGATTGGAGAAGGTTTTATGGATAAATTTGGTCTAAAATCGCCTTTAAATAATAAACGAACGGTGAGTTAATAATATAACATAAAATACAAAGTAAACAACTATGTTCATCATGAAATACAGGTATTCTTAAACGCCGTTTGTAGTCTCCCGACTGAAGCTGCTACCTTGACGTGGTGGTCGGGCTTGCCAATCCTGATGACCCAATTGACCTATATTGGCTGAAACATATGTTCCTACAGGTCCTACCATGCCAGGCAGGTCGATTGGAGAACGACGAGACTAAAAGAAGCTACTCAAGGTCTCCAGGCGAAGTCGTACTGCTGACTGCAGAGGGGTGTGATTGCAGTAAGGTGATTCCCTAGGACAACCAGCATGTGCAGCGATGCTGCTGCCTTCTCACAAGGAAGGTGGGGGTTAGAAAAGGTCGGTCCTAAAAATGCCACACCTCATGGATTTCCGTCTCCGGCGGTAAGGGTGCTCACTAAGGGCTTTCAAGAACGGAGCTAATACTCAAAAAAACCTTCATAGAAAGGCTGTGCGTGACCGGCCTCAAGAAGTTGTCTTTTGGACTCTACGGTCAAGCTCTCAGGTCATTAAGACCAACACTAATCTACTTCCCTCTTCAGGTTCCTCAAGAAACAACCTTCCACGGTGTGTGGGCAGCCCGAAATAAACATAATATAGCACTAGTTCAGAAAATCAATGAATAAAGTTGAGCTTATACAAAATAACTATTAGAAGCTGTAAACATAATAATATAAATTAACATTGAGTTTTTAGCTTAGATCCTTCTAAATTCTGAATATTTTACTGTTTTTTTTGGCCAATATACTTCAATTTCAGTTACTGGTATCACTCTTTCTATTGAGTATTCTTTTGAAACAATGAGTAACAGAAAAAGTAATAATAAATGATAGAATATCTTTTATTCACTGAAACCAACTACGAATGTAAATGTACCGAAATTCAGTCAGCTGATATTGGAAGTATTAAATTATTGTGTTTTCGGTTTTGTTTTTTTTCATCTACCTATGAATCATGCTTTACAACTACTTACTTCTCATCCATTTATTTATTTTATTATTTCAAGTTTGAAGACTTCGAACTTAGACTATATCTACATCAGACAGAGTATACGGATAGGCAAATAAATACCTGACTTCTCATTTGAAATGAATACATATCCAGATGCATGTATTTAACACATTATTACTGATCTATAGACGTTTTATTCACACTACTAATGATGTCATTATATTTGTCTTAATAACTTCCTATCTCAATGCCTATTGTTGTGACTTGAAGCACTATACATTTAGGTCAAGTTTTACGATATAAATGACTGACAGAGTCTACAGACTTAGACCAATCTTATCGATAAGTATATTTTTAGCTTTACTGATCGCTAGATTGGTACGTCGGGAAATTAACGTTTCCTGTTGGAACTTTTGATGTACAGCAGTGTCATTGCTTGTTTCGACATAATAACGAATAAATAACTATAATACTGACCAGAGTAAATCACGGATTAGTTCAACTGTAATCCAATTGCGATGATCTCATGAATAACATTTGTAAATTCTTGAAAGCAATTGAACTATGTAGTCCTTAAAAATAAATCGCATGTATTATCCTAGTTTATATAACTAATCATGATTCTCTCTACTTTTTTTTCCCCAGAATGATACACCTGTTGCAGCATCTACCCTACGAAATAGTCCATATGCATTTCATGTACAGATGGACTAAATAGATATAAAAGGCCTAAATAACAATTTCAAGAAAAAACAAACAAAAAATCATGTTTACACATAAAAATATTGTAAACATTCTCTTTCATTTTTTTGTTAGCTTTTCATGATAACTAACTAACTATTGCATGATTCGTTAAAATTCATTCCTCTTTCATGGTTTTTTTTGGCAACTTAACCAAAAACAAAAAAAAACTCATGAATTTTTACTTTGTTTTTGATGTGTAAAAGTTGATTTCCGGTTGTTCTGTTCTGTTTTATAATATTTCATTCAACATTACTACTATCTATTATTATTACTGCTACTACTACTATTAATACAGTAAATAATCTTTAAACCGGTTTAAAAATCAAAAAAATAACTCATTTTCGTGAGTAACATAAGAAATGGGAGGGAAATTGTCAAACGTCATCATCCTCTCTCTTATTGATGATTATATCCCGTTGTTATGATAGTCATCGAATGCCTACCTTACCTTATCATATAAATGTTTTTATTGTTAAAAAATTACTTATGTGTTTAGATTTTTATCTTTTCAATTAATTAATTAATTAATTAATTGATTTCATTACTGCTAAATACGTTATTCTATTGTTATTTACGAAATCTTGATAAAGTAATCAGTAACATACATTTGTAAACATTTTTACAATTGATTGTGATGTGAAGTCGTTGAACACTACTATTGTAGTGAAGGGGAACACAGGTAAGGGCAACCGAATTGTATTTAACGAAAATTACAGAGTTACTCAGTAAAATCGGAAAACCATATCGTAAACGGTTAATTTGTAAATCATCAATCCATTGTCTGACATTTCACTACTATTCATGCGTTTCCTAATAAATTCCATTGTGTTCCCACTCTTCCTTTCTCTTGATCTTCCCCCATCTACTGCTGCCAGACATTATGTTTACATTCGCGTCATATACTACTTATAAGTAGCGCACACCACACTATTACTAAAAGTTAGAGAATTTGGTAAAGAGCATACTTATATTAATCAATCATAGCAGTTATCGTAACGTTCCGAAGATAGGTCCGTCAGCATTTGATATTAATTTCAGAAGATACTACTAGTTGGAGGTTGTTGGCTCGTTCAAGAATCGTTGCTGAATATCAACACAGTTCATTTGAGACACTTTTCTGCTCGGATGCATCACAGTGATAACAGTCGAACATATCGATATCCTCTAGACTTAATATTGCATGTTTGGTTTCTCCTATAGCTGTAACGTGTAACAAAACCATGATATGATCAATTCCAGAATTCCTTACATCATAACTATTTTTCGAAAGTATTCTACTAATTAGTGACAACCAATTGATGTTTTGAAACATTGGTTGATCAGTTAAGACGTTTGAATTCTGGTCACCAACTTCCTAGTCCGAATCCCGTTTCACCTGCTCCACTTTAGGCAACCGGGTAGTAATCTTAGCCCTAAAACTTAGTGTGGTTCATACCTAAGTACCTGGTGGAAAAAGTTTAAAGAGAGCAACAGTTGAAAATAATTTCGATGAGAGTAAAGAAATATGGTTCAATGAGAAATAAGGAATACTCGAAAGATCGCGCAAGGTTATTTCGAAACTCAGGATCTAAAGAAGGAATGGGCACATCTACACCATAGTGACCGATCTCGAGCCCCGAGATTACTTAGCCAGTAGTTTCATTATAGGCGATCAATGGTTTAAATCACAGTCACGATTAGAAACATGCAGCCTACGGATTTTAACATTCATAGAAGACGTTTCATAGCTATAGAGAAAAACACAAGGTTCCTCTTTGTTGGCAAAAAGACATCTCGTCCACGCCAACAATAACGCAAGTTGACAAACATCAATCTAGCTGCCTGAATGAATCCCGAGTATTTTTGTCACATAGCAAGCAACCTACCAACGTTGATGAGACTTTGAAGGTAATTGAAATAGTCAACACACTCAACTACTTCACAAACTATCGCTAATTCAAAAGTTGACACAGACCAGTCTTGAAGCATTTTTTGAATCTAGAGGGAGAGAATCACTTCCAAATCATGATTGAATTGTTAATCAAGGCATTTAGAGTAATATATCTTAACACCATGACATTCTAAGTCAATTTGCTGGTAGATTGATGCTTAGAAGGTTAGAAGAAAGATATTTGAGTCTCCATGAGAATGTATATGCCAAAATTTAGTAATGATAACGATAGTGAGTAGACATAAAGTGTCTTAGTTTAAGTTGACGATCCCGATGACAACTCGCCGATATTTCTCAAGTAAAAAAAACTTTACAAGGTTTGTTTACTTCCTAGGTAAATATTTTAATGAAGAAAACTACCGCAAAACGTTCGAACTGATGAAAATGATTGTCGCATTCAAGTTTAGAATTACAACTGTATTCGGATGTTTGACAATTTGAAAAGGAGTTAATGTTTGCTCGATACGTCCGTTTTTAGGCTTGAACCGAACCCAGATATTTCTCAAGTTTGCTACTCATGAGGTCTAATAAAGCGACACAGGGTTATGGAAGCTAGTATTTTGAGCCTTATAACAAACAGTCAAACTAATTAGCCCACGATTTATCACAAGGTCATTTTTGTACTTTCTTGTCAAAATTGAGACGATCAACATCAGATAACAACAAATGGTTACGTAACTTTTAACTACTGACTACAGTCAGTCAATCAGATGCAACGTAGAACTTCGTAAGTAAGTATATCAGTTCATGTTGCCATACCACATTAGCACACACAGAGATGTAATTGTCAATTCAAATCCAATAGTGTAGTAGAGGTAGCAAAGTTATTAGAAGTAATCGGAGAGGTTAGGATTAGAAGATATTATTCAAGAAGTATGATTCAGTGGGAAAAGTTTACAGAGTTGAAGAATCTAGAAGATTAGGATTTGAGAGAACACAAAGAATAAATGCACTGGTGACTAAAATAAGAAGCATAACAGTATTGTTTTATTGAAATGTATCTATATTTTGCATTAATTTTTGTAAATTATCTGTATCCATTGGAATGAATATGAATTCAGTGCCATCCGGTCCCTGAAATAGATAATTAAAATGAAAATATATAGAAAGCAGACCCCATGAGAACATGGTATTAACTGATAGAAAAATATAACAAACTCACAATGAAAATAGTTATAAATCAGCAATGCTTATTGACTTAGATAAAGAGGCATAGAACGCTGATGAGTGCTAATTGTTAGCATGTTAGTGGAATGAAACTTGATAAGTCCAGGTAATAAATAGAGAGAGTCGAACTTATTGAAAATACATACAAGTGGATACAGTCAGTCAGTCAGTCAACTACAACGTAGAACTTCGTAGGCACAGACATCAATTAAATTTGACACAATAGCACATAGAGATCAAAATGTCAATTCAAATCCCATAGTGGTAGTAGAAGTATTAACAGTAATGAAAAAGATTAACGTTTGGAGATATTATTCAATCAGTATCATTCAGTGAAATAAACTCAAAGAGAGAGAGAGAGGTAAAGGTGATGAGGGATTCAAAAGATCATAATTTAAGTGAACACAAAGAATGGATGCACCTGCACCAGTGCAAACGATTTCCAACTATGTCCTTCAAGGTCTCTAACCATCGGTTACTGTCATCTCACGGACCACAATCAGGTAGTCTACACGTACCAACGTGGCTCAGTTCAGTTGTCAGTGACTTCATGGATTTGTGCCAAGTTTCGGTCTGACCCTAGCTTTCTTTCACACTACCCCTACATCACAAAACATAGCTCGTCGATGCAGTCGACAGTGCGGCATACTTAACACATGTCCCAACCACCTCACACAAACGGATACACCAATGTGAAGAAAGTGAAAACGTGTACCAATTCAAACGGATAAATTGTACACCAACAAAATGAATAAGAAGATCTAGAAAATATTATCGATAACAATGAGAAATGTAGATGGAACAGCACAAGAATTTAACGGGAACTACGGAATAGGACAATGTTTAGAAATGAATACGTTTCCAGTTAATATCATTGAGTATTTAATCATAGATCATCATTATATTGAGCGAAATTCAAGAAAAGTTAAAATTAATAGTTAATCATTTTATGGATTAACTTTGGCATACCTAACTTCAATCAACAAGCTTTTATGCTGTGGAGCACTGTTTCTGAGTGATCAACGATTATATATACATGCACATAAATCATATCCTAACCACTCTAGTTTATAAGGGTTTACAATATTATCAAGCAATTTAGCATAGTTGTTATTCAATACTGTCTGTCTATTATGAACATTGTTCACTTGATGTAACTCACTACTGATCAAGTAAAGGTTTGAGCCAGAAATTTGTAAGATGTAGTAATATCATCTGGCTATTCAAGTTGAAGTATGTGAATGATGTGAGTTTTCTTTTATGCCTGGGATCCATTGGTTCGAACACAAATTGTTCAACCGTTAAATCACTGTTCTTTGATCAGTAATTGTGACATATATAAATAGTTGAGAATAGCATTTTTAAGTGAATGAAAAGATTTCAATGTACCAGACCAACGCTTAATCCATCATACGAAAAACAAATTATAATTGGAAGCATATATCTAAGACAAATAATAAAATTCGGGACAACAGTGAACAACACTGATGGCTAATTTATGACACAACCAATTTAGACTGATTGGTATTTTGTCTAGAGATAATTTGAATGAATCTTCAGATGGATAACTAATAGATTAGCATAAACACATTATTAAATCTTTTGTAATGTAAATACCGTTTTATATTTTTCAACTACAGATGGTATAAGACGCTGCCTCCAATGCCCTGATATGAATGAGAGTGGAGAAGGTCAACTCTGTCTCTCCAAATTCTCTCATATGGCCACGTGCACATAGCTACTGTTAGCGAAATCTAACTCACTGTCTTGATGTGGCATAAATGTTCTTTACGAAATTTAAAAGAAGCTTTAACCTGGTTGATGGGTACAGACTATTCACCTAGAAGAGTAGAAAACCTCCGATTCCAAACTAATGGTGCATATGGGCTTCAGTATCTCCAGGGGACAGATGGTATATGAATCTATTGTCAGTGATCATCTTCCATGGGTCTGCACCTCCTGATAATACTCTACTACCTTACGGATTATTCTATTTGGTCAAAGGCTGAGGGAGTATAATCCTCTAAGAAAATCATTTATTTCAGTTTAGGCATCCGGCAAGTATCCCAACCAACACACAAATTCATTGGTTCATGAGAAATTTCTTTAAATATTCGTTTCGGTTCAAAGTAAGTACTGGAATATAAATAACTAAGTTTTATTACAATAATTGAGTTAAAGGAAAAGTTAGGAACAAAAAAAGATAAAAACTAACCTTTTTAATTTTTATTAGTTTATGATCACGAAATTCAGTTAGTTGAGCTTTTAATGTTGTCTCATTACTTGTAAGAAATGCATCACGACAACGCCAATATAAATCCTCCATAGCAATTCCTTTATAGTTAAAATAATAATAGTAATAATAATCATAGTAATACAAACTTGATTCTATGTATACACAGTTAAAGTATAGGTGAATATATTTGACGGAAAAGCTTTAGAAAATGTAAACACCTCTACATATATCTTGGCAGCATCACTGATGAGCAAGGTGGGTCTGATACAGATCTGAAGGTGTCGATTGGCAAAGCAAAATCAGCATTTCTGTAGCTGAACAACATCCGCAACTCAAAACAACCAACAACGAAGTCAGAATTTTTAATAGGAATGTTAAGATAGTTCTACTATATGGGGAAGAAACTTGGAGAACTACAAAAGCCATTATTCACAAGATAAAAGTGTTTATTAACAGGTGTCTACACAAGATACCGAAGATCCGTCGGCCAGACACCATCAGCAACAACCTACTGTGGGAGTGGACAAACAAGATGCCAGTGGAAGAAGAAATCAGTAACGTGGACAAGACGCACATTGAGGGAAGCGCTCAGTTGCGTCACAAGACAAACCCTCACTCGGGATCCTGCAGGCCAAAAGAGAAGACGGAAACCGAAGAACATATTACGCCGAGTATCGGACATGGACATGAGAAGAATGAATAACAACTGGATAAAACTGCGGCAGTAGGTCTCAACATACATAAAGGAAAGAGCAAAATTCTCCGATGCAACACAACATGCACCAACCAAATCACTCTTGATGGAGATTCTTTGGAGGACGTTAACACCTTTACATATCTGGGCAGAATCATCGACAACCAAAGTGGATCCGATGCAGATGTGAGGGCGCGGGTCGGCAAAGCGACGGTTGCATTTCTACAATTGAAAAATATATGGAACTCCAAACAAATATCAATCAACAACAAAGTCAGGATTTTCAATACAAATGTCAAGACAGTTCTACTGTATGGAGCGGAAACTTGGAGAACTACCAAAGCCATCATCCAGAAGATACAAGTGTTTATTAACAGTTGTCTATGCAAAATACTTCGGATTCGTTGGCCCGACACTATCAGCAACAACGTACTGTGGGAGAGAACAAACCAGATTCCAGTGGAGGAAGAACTCAGGAAGAAGTGGTGGAAGTGGATAGGACACACACTACAAAAAACACCCAACTGCGTCACAAGACAAGCCCTCACTTGGAACCCTTACGATTAAAAGAAAAGGGGAAGGCCAAGGAACACATTACGCCGAGAAATAGAGAAAGATATGAGAAGAATGAACAGCAGTTAGATATAACTGGAAAAGAAGGCCCAGGACAGAGTAGGTTGTTAAATGCTGATCAGTGGCCTATACTCCCCATTGGAGGTAATAAGCGTAAGTAATAAGTGATTATTTATCAACTTTGTTAATAAACAGCGTTGAAAATTTGGGAGCATGTAATCAATCAGTGGACGAATCTTGCTTAAGTACAACAAAACACGAGTCTTGAATTTCACTGCCAGCCATAAATCCATCCATCAATAAGCTACTGAGCAACATTAATAAGTATTATCATATATTCACAGTGTACATTAAAAATTATTTGTCAAGAAGCCAGTATTTATATAAACAATATTTTTTTACTTACCATTTGTAACAGTTCCTTTACTACCATTTTGATACGGTGTCTCTAATTGATATTCAACAATCATACGAAATATATCACGTGCATTTTGTGTTAATGAAGCAGCTACTTGACGTAGACTAGCAAACATTGTACCAACACTACCACCAGTAGTTGTATCCGATCCACCACCCTCAACACCACTAAGAATATGTTGTAAAATTTGACTATTTGCAAAATTACACTCTTCAGTGTAATTGTAAAAATTAGTACAATCTTCCCAGATCCAAGCAAATCGAGCTAATTCATTGTGAGACCATACTGTAATGAAAGTATTTTGTAAAGTAAAATCATTATAGGCAAGCAAGCAGTCAAGCGAAGTATGTACATAAGATGATAAACTATGAAAATCTAGAGTAATATATGATGCATATCAGTCATCAATCAATCAATCATTGTTAGACCACCATTAGAAACCTGGAAGCACTGAAGGACGGCCGTTTCGTCCTGGTATCGGACTACTCATCCACCCACGACTCTTGCACCTCGCAGGATTCGAACCCGGGACCTTTGGTATAGTGCGCGAACGCCTAACCATCGGACCATGATTTCAAATGTGTAAAAATAACACAAATCTCCTAAACTCTAACTGAAAATATCGTAACATGTGCTCACTAGAGACTAGCTTCGTGAGGAAATTCTCGGTGTTCTAGTTGAGAAGACGTGACCAATGGAGTTCAACCCTGTCGGGTGTAGGCAGTAACTACCAAAGACAAAGGGTGAGTTCGCGAAAAATCCCTAGTTCAATCAGAGTTAGACATTAACACCGTTGGATGCCGGGCCCAGTTGTCCGATGGTTAGACGTTCGCGCACAATACCGAAGGTCCCGGGTTCGAATCCTGCGAGGTGCAGGAGTCTTGGATGCGCACTGCTGATGAGTCCCATGTCAGGACGAAACGGCCGTCCAGTGTTTCCAGATTTCTAATGGTGGTCTAACAATGATTGATTGATGATTTCAAATGTGTAGAAATAACACAAATCTCCAAAACTCTAACTGAAAATATCAGTCAGTTAGTTAGCCAGCAACAAGTTGCCATACCACAGATTAGCACACAGAGATCGAATTGTCGATTTAAATCTCATAGTGGTAGATGGAGTAGAAGTATTAGAGGTAATCGAAAGGATTAGGGTTTGAGGATGTTATTCACGGGAGGATGGAGAAAATTTGTAGCCCAGGTGAATGATTGTGGAGCTTTCATGGTTTTATTTCTGAACAACATCATTAGCACAAACTTCAGATAGAAGAAGTGAAGTATTCGAATTTCTCTACGTGTATGACCAGTCACTTGTTCAGTTAACCTCGATCTTGATTGGTTATAATTGACCTTAAACCAATCGTTGTCTGAACCTTCATTTTGATTGTATCCTATTTTGATGTTTTTTTCATTCTATGTTTGCCTATGATTTTTCTGATTGAGGTTAACACAACAAGTTATGAGTCAAATGTGGAAAAATTCAAAAACTTCACTCCTACCTGAAGTTTATGCTGATGCTGTTGTTCAAATAAAACCATGAAAGCTCCACAATCAAAACATCCAGCTCAGAGAACGAAACTCCACCAAAATGTTATTCAAGGAGTATAATCTAGTGAAACAAATTGGAGAAGACAAAGGTCATGAGGAATTCAGATTCGGGAGAACACAAAGATTGGATACATCTGCGCCATTGGAGACGATTTTGAGCAATGTCATTCAAGGTCTCTAACCATCGGTTACTATCGTCTCTCCGACCCCAACCAGGTAGTCTACACCTACCAACATGGCTCAGTCCACTTGTCAGTGACTTCATGAATTTGTGCCATGTTTTGGTTTGGCTGCAACTAGATTTCTTCCAACCTAATCCTACATCACAAAACACAGCTTGTCGGGGCAGTCGGTGGTTGGGAAAACGTAACACACGATAAACACATTGGATTATTAGTAAGCACACCTCTAATAACTGATAAAAAAATAGGAACTTACAAAGAGGCATATTAGCATGATCCACTGAAGCAACCAAATGAATATGTTGTACTTCAGCTAATCGAGCTAAAATAGCTTGAGCTTTACCATTGCGTAAACCTGGACCATCAATATTGTTTAGAAGTAGAAATAATGGTGACTTTTCAGCCTCTAAATTATACAAGACAAAAAAAAATTAAGAACATCAATGTATGTATTTAGCCTCGCTCTATCTCAGTAAGAAACATTTAACAAGGATTTCATATGATATTTGGTGTTATTTAAGTCGATTAATTTGCAATGCTTTCTCTAATTATTCTTTCCATTAGAGCTAAAAGATCAGTGTTTTTACACATTGAAATCATCAGTCAGCGATTGTTTGACCACAATTAGAAGAAACTGTTAGGATATTCACCAAATATACTATTTTTGGAAGTACAATCCTATTGGCCGAAATTATGACCGTTCTAACCGTCAAGGTCAAGTACTTCAATGTTGTTTTTTATTGGTCATCTGGACTATCAATGTCATTCAAATGTTCTTTTCTATTGGTCGGCCTGAACTGTCAATGTCACAGACGTTGATGCTCTTTCTTATTCTACCTTAGTGTATAAATACGCACTACCTAAAAGATTTAAGAATTCCGTTTCCCCTGCCTACCTCTTCTTTTGTATTCGACCCAATAAACAACTCTCTTCCACGGTGTTGCGTTCTGATATCTAGGAGATTTGGAAAGAGCATTTTGGGTCGTATTGGGATATTTGAATTGGACGCCGTTAGGACTGAAGAGCTATACGTAGCAGCGTTACAACAGAAACCTAGAAGCACTGGACAGCCGTCTTGTTCCGGTATGGGACTCATCAGCAATGTGTAACAAAGACTCATGCTACACGTAGAAGCCAGGACCTTCCGTCTTGCGCGCGAACGCCTAACCTCTGGAACACTGGGCCAGAATCCGACAGTGTTAATGTCTAACTCTGATCAATCTAAAGAGTTTTGTGCGACCTCACCCATTTGTCTTCGGTAGTTACTGCCTACAATCAACAGGGGTGAACTCCATCGGTCACATCTCGCTAGAACTTGGAGAAACTTCCGCATGGAAATAGTCACTAGTAAGCACATTGTACGATTCTTTTAATTAGAATTATAGAGATCAGTGTCTTTAGTAAGGAATTTAACATTCACATTTACCTTAGCAAGAATAACTTAAAAAATTTTAAAATTTCTGCACGAATATCTAAAATGTTAATGGAATATTATTTCGCAGAAATCATATCTGACAGACAGACAAATACAACGCAGAACTTCGTACATAAGTACATCAGTTTAGGTTGCCATACCACATCAGCACAGAGACGCAACTGTCAGTTCAAACCCAACAGTGATAGCAATAATAGAAGTATTAGCAGTAATGGAGAAGATTAGGGAGCGAAGATATGATTCGAGAAGTATAAATTTAGAAGGAGAAAGGTAAAGATTATGAGGAATACAGAAGCTTAGAATTTCATAGAACACAAACAGTGGATGCACCTGGGCCATTGCAAACCATTCTAAGCCATTTCGTTCAAGGTCTCTAATAATCGGTGACTATCGACTCGCGGATCCCAACCAGGTAGCCTACATCTACCAACATGACTCAATCCACTTGTCAGTATGACTTCATGCATTTCTGAAATCATATGTAACTGAATTTTAAATCTCTTCAGCGATACACACACACACACACACGAAACACTATTATTTCTATCTGATTAAGAATTGCAGAAGTAAGAGTAGAGCGCACAACGAAGGTCTCAACGTTGTTATACAATCTAACAGCGAATGAAATTTTCACGGAATATGTTATCACAATTACCGACGAAACGTTTCTAAACCTTATATATTTAAATATTAATACAAATTTGAAATACATAGGAATACAGCGTGAATTTTCAAATACTCCTGAGTGATAAAAAAAGAGAACTCTGCACCGGACTACTAATCTTTATTGTTATTACCGCTACATTTCTTTGAGTGTACAAATAAATCTGAAATGAAAAGATCTTATCACAAACAATACACTTATAATCAAGTATTCACAGAAGAATTACATATTTTTGAAAAAATGATTGTACTTAGAATACTCTCCACTTACCATCTTTTTTGAATAAGTCACATATCAATTGAAGTTGTTCAGTTGGATTTTTACAACTATCTGCAACATGCAAGAATTCATGGCAGATACAATTTAATATCTAAAAATACAACAGAACAATGCAAATGATATAAATAACTTGTAGATATTAGGGATTCATATTGTAACCATAGAAAGGAGACAGTGTTTTAATAGTTTATTTCAGAAAAAAATGTACTAGAAAACGTCAATCATTTAGCTATAACGTACATCCTACGACCAGACACCATCACCAACAACATACTTTGGGAGAGAGCAAACCAGATTCCAGTGGAGGAGGAAATCAGGAAGAAGCGGTGGAAGTGGATAGGACACACATTGCGGAAAGCACCCAACTGCGTCACGAGACAAGCCCTCACATGGAACTCTCAAGGCAAAAGGAAAAGAGGAAGGCCAAGGAACACATTACGTCAAGAAATAGAGAAATATATGAGAAGAATGAACAAAAATTAGACAGAACTGGAAAGGGAAGCCCAGGACAGAGTTGGTTGGAGAAAACTGGTGGGCGGCTTATGCTCCATTGTGGGTAACAGGCGTAAGTAAGTAAGTAAGTACAACCTACAACAAATATGGATTATTCAAGTTGCTTGAATCATATCAAAACAAAAAGAGATGAGACGACTATAGTGAATATTAAGGTAGTAGAAGTAGTAACAAGAGGAGTATCAGTGATAGCAAGAAAAAATTAAGCACATAGAATATGATTGTTGAAGAACGAATCAATTCATAGAAAGGGTACGGAAAGAATGAATGCACCTGGGTCAATACAACCGAGTCCGAGTCAGGTTATTCAAAGTCTCTAATTATCGGTCACGATAACTAGGTAGCCTATACCTACCGACTGACTCCTACATTACTCGGCAGAAAACTAATGGCGTCCAAATCAAAACGTATCCTCCCATTGAGTTATTGACTTTCAATTAGCCAATTTTGGTAGGTATAGGCTACCTAGTTATCGTGACCGATGATTAGAGACTTTGAATAACCTGACTCAGACTCGGTTGTATTGCCTCGCCTCTAAAATCCTAATCTTCTGGATTCGTCAGCACCTCTACCTTTGTCTTTCTAACCTTATCTCACTGAAATATACTTCTTGAATAATATCTTCGAACCCTAGTTCTCTTCATTTCCATCTTTATCACTATGGGATTTGATTTGACATTTGCGTCTCTGTGCTAATGTGGTATGGCAACATGAACTTATGTACATACGTACGAAGATCTACGTTGCAATTGACTGACTCCTACATTAATATCACACGGTGAGATAAGTGGTAATTGGGTGCAAATGGCACATGTCCCAGCTATTTGAGTCAATGAAGAAAAATTAGCCCATCAATAGACCCCACTATCTTCGCCTGGAACATTGTATTTAAATTCAGCTTTGATTACTTGGTTGTTTCATGATAGGTGAACAATACCCCCAAAAGGCCTATGGTCAAATACTAACAACTTTAGAATGTCCTCCATTATCACGGTTCCGGTTTCACAGACGTATAGAGAAAACTGTTGAGCAGTATACTCGCCCTTTCTTTGGCGGACGTGATTGGCCAACAGATGGCTTTCATCTCTGAGGAATATATATAAACATATACATGAGTGCACACGTGTTAAGCGACTTTGATCGATGAATTTCCTTTCTCACTTACAATCTTTTTACTTCAGCAAACGGTTAGATTCAAGCACAGGAGGGTAATGAATCAGTATCAACCCTCAAATATCGTCACTTTACAACCATATTTAATATTATCGTCAAACAACATTCCGACTGAATTATTATCATTACCCTTTAGGTTGTGAAATTAACAAAGATATTAGAAAGGGATGGCGAAGATAAGCTTAAAGAAATAAGCAGTGAATATTGATTATTCTTCCTCGTTGAAATCATGAATCAATCAGTGTTAGGCTACCATTAGAAACCCCGAAACACTGGACGACCGTTTCGTCCTAGTATAGGACTCTTCAGCAGTGCGCATCCACGACCGCCTCGTCCAACCATGTTTTGGTTGGAAGACAGCTAGGGGTGGCTAAACCAAAACATGGTACAAATCTATAGAGTCACTTACAAGTGGACTAAGTCATGTTGATATGTGTAGACTACCTTGGTTAGGGTCCGTCAGATGATAGTAACCGATGGTTAGAGACCCCAAAGGACGGCTAAAAACCGTTCGCAATGGTGCAGGTGCATTCATTCTACGTGTTCTCTCAAATCCTAACCTTCTGAGTTCTTCATCACCTTTATCATTTTCTTATTAAGTTTATTTCACTAGATTATACTTCTTGAATAATATACCAAAACCCCAATTACTGCTAATACTTCTACTACTATGAGATTTGAAGGGATAATTGCATCTCTGTGCTAATGTGGTATGACAACCTGAACTGATGTGTGTGCGTACGAAGTTATACGTTGTAACTGACTGATTGACTGACTCCCATTTGCGGGAATTGAACTCAGGACCTTCGATCTCGCACGCGAAAGCTTAACCTCTAGACCAATGAGTCGGCATCCAGTGATGATAATGTTTAACTTTGATCAACCTGAGGTTTAGAGCAAGTTCACCCATTGTGTTCAATAGTTACTGTCTACATCCGACAGGGCTGAACTCCAATGGTCACGTCTTCTCTCACTAGAACTCCGAGAATTTCCTCACGAAGCTAGTCACTAGTGAGCACATTGTATAATATTGATTATAGAGTTATAGAGACGGTTGTTTTTGATTAAAATCAAGAATCAATGATTGTTAGACCACCATTAGAAACCCGGATGCATTGAACGGCTGTTTCGTTCTAGTATGGTACTCTTCATAATCTAGTTTTACAATATTTTTAAAAGAACATCATTTAAAATAACATTTACGAAGTGTTGTTCACACTAAGGTTTGTTGAATTATACCTATCGAATCAATTTCTCGTGAATCCTTTCTTAACACGGTGTACCAGCAGGTTTAAATAAACTTAAAGACTATGGAACTTATCTTGTCACATTCTCAGGCAGATTTTTTTTCCTGGGGATTTCATTTTTTTTAAAATAAAAGCTTTGGTGAAAGAATATTAATGTATGCAATGCAAATAAATGACAATGTACAAAAAAGAAGAACAGTCAAAAACAAACTTGTCGTATATTGATCGAAGGATTATAACCTGGAATCACAATACAATTTGTTTTAGATAAATATCGCTTTCGAAAATCCTCCATAACATGTCGTTTGGATCCGATTCCATATAATAGAATATTAAATCCTTCACTGAAATATAAGAGATAGACAGACAGATAGAGTTAGATTGTTTGTTTGTTTTGGTTAAAGTTCAACGTAGTGGAGTCATCAGAATTTGATTAGGCAGTAATTTCTTATAAGCCAACGAATACATTATGTCGAGAAATGGAGACAGACATGAGAAGAATGAACAGGAATTAGACGGAACCAGAAAGGGAAGGACAGGACAGAGTAGGATGGAGAATACTGGTCAGTGGCCTATACTTTATTGAAGGTAATAGGTGTGAGTATTACAAATGCTCAAACACCGACGGCCTCGACGAAAGATGTTTTGTGGTGAAGGAGTAAGTTGGAGGAAAGCCAGGGGTGACCAGACCAGACCAAAACATGCACAAGTGCATAAAATCACTGACAAGTGGACTGAGGCATGTTGGTAGATGTAAACTGCCTGGTTGGGGTCCGCGAGACAATACTAACCGATGGTTAGAAACTTTGAACGATAGGGCTTAAAAGTGGTTGCAATGATATAGGTGCATTCAATCATTGTGTTCTTTCAAATTCTAACCTTTTGAATCCCTTATCATCTCTATCTTTCTCTTTCTAAAGTTATCTCACTGAATTATACGTCTCGAATGATATCTTCGATCACTAATCCTTTTAGTTACTGCTATTAATTCTAATACCTCTACTACTATGGGATTTAAATTGACAATTGCATCTCTGTGTTAATGTAGTGTGGCAACCTGAACTTATGTACGTACGTACGAAAATCTACGTTGTAACTTACTGCCTGACCGACTGATTCGGAGTGGACGACTAAACTTCAGTAAAGAACCTCCTGGCTCGAACTTACTACTGCTTTGCCTGATTGATGCAGTTAGTCAGGAGCACAGGAGTCAGTGAAAGAAGAGTGACAGCATAACAAAGAGATCATCGCGAAAACGTCAGCTCCCTCAACGCGACATAGTTAACCAATCAGGAGTGACCAAATGAGTTCACTGGATGGCCATCAGAAATGTCCTTAAGGACGAATACATATCGATGGCTGAGAAAAGGGTTCATTTATATATATATAGGTTAGTACGTATCGATTTTAGATCTTGGACATCGCACACCATAACATATTATTTACAGCCAAATAAACAATTCATGAAGAGAACAATAATGGAAAATGATCTACAGTGATAATATACGAATCCACAACAAATATAATAATAATAATAACCCTACGAATCTCCTATTTCACTGAGGTACTGACTATCAAGAAATAATAGGTGACCCAAGAACAAATAGTAGTTGGCAAAAATACCACGCGTTGTATTCATTTTCAAGTTGTTAATGTTATTATTGAAGTACAATTGTCGATACAAAGAACTACCTAAATACTTATGCACCACACAAATCAATGAATTTGTGTGGTCTGGGGTACTGACCCGCTGCCCAAACCGAACCAGGTGGATTTCTTGGGGGGCGGGGTCATCTCCCGAATCTTTGACCTAGAGGTCTAGTCAACATGGTAGTGAAGCAACGTCAGAAAATGAATTTTCACGGAGGCTGGAGACTAACAATAGGCCCAAACACCGTTTGTCCTACTGGGATACCGGTTTCGATGTGCATCATTGGTTTTGAAATCAGGGTTGTGTGCACCAACCTGGTTTAAGCGCTAGACATTCACTTTTCATCCTCCTAACTTCTTAAACAACACCCACCCCCACTATGAGTAGGACTGTCCTGACAGTGGCAATACACGCGTGGTTATATGAGAGTATTCAGAGAGGGAAAGCGGATTGTCACCGCTATCAGTCGTACCAGAACATCTGGGGGGCAATTATATCTTAAGTAATTTAAAATTATGAAGAATTCAGATATACCAACTACGGAGTAGGAAGAATAAAAAAACAAACGAAGTCAATGACTTAATTTGTTAAAATCTCGTTCAGTCACTTCCCATCATGAATTTATTTTTTACTTAACACAACCTTACTAGGTTGTACTTTATTTTCTCTTACAGTTCGTCATTTCCAATCCTTTACTGTCTCTTCATATAATTGATTAGTTTAATGCTGGCGATAATCAACAGTTGACAGGACTGGATAAACAGATGAAAATACCGACATTTTGGAAGCTTTACTTTGGGGGCACCAGTCTTTCTGTGTATTTACTACACACTTGGTTTATGGTGTATCTATATTGTTTGAAGTTCGATCTTTTATATGATCTAATAATCATTTTATTCTTTTATTTACTGTTCATGCATTACAGTAAATCAATTAGAAATCCACCAGTCAGTTTTACCATAAATGTACTAGTTTTATGGATATTTAAACATATTACTTATATTTTATCTGGACAGAGTAGGTTGGAGAATACTGGTCGGCGGTCTAAGCTCCATTGGGAGTAACAGGTGTAAGTAAGTAAGTACTTATATTTTACGGTATGAGTCAGGAATTCGGAATAACACAGGATAGTATGAGTCACGTACCTGGTCATCATAACGTTTTAACTGATAGTTTTGTGAATGAACGAGAGTAATGAGTAGACTATCGATAGCTTAATATATCGGCGAACTGACAGAGAAAATCAACGTAAGCGTTTCAAAATGAAACTTGATCTTAATTAAAACAAATATCAATTAGTTCATAGAAAAAAAGAGCCTAACACTTACCGCAAATAAATTGTCCAATTACTAAACAAGCGTGTACCTAATTCTGACCGCAATTTCTCCAAAATAGGCAACTGTTTAGGTTGATAAGAATTACGAAATTGCTCAAGAGCGACTGGATCAGGTATTCCAGGATGATTTCCAACACGAAGTTTGGACAGGGTATGATTACTTGTTTTACCGTTCATGAAATCCCCATGTTGTAAGAAGTAGGCGTCTAAGGACTCTGATTGATTTGTCTGAAATTTAATATTACAGAAATAGAATAATCAATAATATGGAAAGTTAGACATTAACATAATTAGATGTTGGGCCCAATGGTGGTCTAGGGGCAAGCGTTTGAACGTAAGACTGAAAGTCCTGGGTTCGATTCTTGGGTGCGGGGTAAAAGTAAAAAGATTAGCTATGGAAAACATGGTTTGAGAAAATATGAATTTAGTGAACAAAATTCATGGGAAATTTAAATTTCAGGATCTAAGAGAAAACAAAGAGTGACTGCACTTGAGCCATCGCAAACAATTTTGAGCCATGTGATTCAAAGCATCTTGCCATTGGTGACGATAAAGACGCGGATACTAGCCAGGTAGTCTGCACCTAACACATATGGATAAGTTCAATAGTCAGTGTCCTCATGGACAGATGCCAAATCTTGATATGACCACGCCAAGCTTTCTTTTAACATACTCCAATACAAACCATCATCGTACGTGGTTGGAGTACACTTTTTATAAATACGCAAAAGTACCTTGGTTGTAACTGGAAACAATACAAACAGTTAGAGACAGCTAACTTCACCATTTTCTCTCTGAAATGAAACATCATTTAGAATGCAACCTCATTTTGACTTGAGCAGTTCAGAAGTACTCTTGGTTCTCGTTACGTCAATAGAGAGGTTTAAAACAGAGTGCATAATTCTGTATTATGCAAATGAGTGATTTACAGTAATGGTTGTTGTGATCTAATCAAAGCGACAATCAACTTTTAAGAAAAGATTATTTCAACTTCTAAAGACTGAGAATATCAGTCAGATGCAACATAGAACTTCGTACGCATGTACATAAGTTCATGTTGCCATACCACATTAGCACAGAGACGCAAATGTCAAATCAAATTCCATAGTGATAAAGATAGTAGAGGTATTAATCGTAATGAAGAAGAATACGGTTCGAAGATATTATTTAAGAAGTATAATTCAGTGAGATAAGGTTAGAAGACAAAGGTAGAGGTGCTGACGAATCCAGAAGATTAGGATTTGAGAGAGCTCAAAGAATGGATGTACTTGTGCCATTGAAAACGATTCTGAGCAATGTCGTTCAAGGTCTCTAACCATTGGTGACTTTCGTCTCGCGAACCCCAACCAGGTAGTCTACATCTACCAACATGACTTAGTCCAATCAAAGCGACAATCAACTTTTAAAAAAACATTATTTCATCTTCTAAAGACTGAGGATATTATACTCAATATATCAATAATTAGTTAAACGTTGGAAGAAACCCCATACAAAAAAAATTAAGGTTATTACGTTTATCTGACAAAAAACCGAAACCTAATTATACTTAAGAAACTTACATTTTCAACCAGTTTTTCATCGAACTTGTTAGACACCGTGTTGGATGTCTCTGTAAGGAGGAATTAAACACAAAACTTTATGACTATATTAAGCCAAATGAAATAAAATCTGAAACTAAAGAGAAACTTTCATCTTCTTCAGCAAATAAGAATAGCTTAAAATAGAACAATGAGTACATAACAGCATGGGTTTGTGGAGATTTAACTGGATCACAAACCGATTCAAGTTAGGCAACCACTGGAAACCTGGAAGAACTGGATGGACGTTTTGTTGTAGTATAAATATCCTCAGCAGGGCACATCTACATCACTGGATCCCAATCCAGTGGTTTGAAGGTTAAGCATTTGCGCACGAAACCGAGGGTCTTGGGTTCAAGTCCTGGTTCCGAGTCCGTAGAAGTGTATCGCTGAGTTCCATACTAGGATGTAACGGACAACCAGTGCTTTCGCGTTTCCAACGGTTGTCTAACTAAGATTAGTTTCTCATCTGAATCAAACATATGAATATTATTCCATGAGGACACCAAGATACGATAAGCTAACGATAAAAAAAACTGTCCGATACGAACTATACTTTTTTGATGCACAAAAGGGAGTACATCATCGATTTCTAAGAGAACCATGTAATTTCATAGCCAAACAAATAAATAACTTCGAAACAACCAGATAACGCACACACACACACGGTACCCTTTATTAATTTGATAAAAAAGTAGTGACAACGATCCAGGCACAATACTATGGATTTATTCTGTTAAATTCTTATTAGATGCTTATAACCTATAATATTTCCAATTCGAAAGTTTAACATGTTTACATAAGTGCGTTTTCGTGAGAGTTTAGTGTGCAAACAAAAATATCACCATGGTGAAAACACGAACCAAATGAGTTTAAAAAAGTTGAAGTGTGTTGTGAATATCATAATAAAATGTAAAGGCTATAGAACATCGATTAGAGTTGCAACAAAAAGTCACACGGCCGAAATTACATGATAAAACACTGAAACATACATTTTTAAAGTAATGTACATTTTAATTCACTATCATACTTAATCTTTTGACTCGTATTAGTGTCTTATAATGAGATTTATTGCATTAAACGAGGATTTCAATTCGCCTAAAAGTGATCTGTGGCTATGTAAAATATATGGCGTTAAATAACTAAGTAGACTTACTTTTGCGACTGCATCTTTTCATTGCACGTGGTGTAAGTACGTCTATGTTCTCTTTTTCTTCAGAAATATTCAACTCTGAAAACTCTAAACATTACAAACAACATAGTACTATGATTAGAGACTAGGTATATAAGTTAACGATAAATTGAATACCACGGTTGATGAATTATGTATGATAAGTCAGTCAATCAGTCAGTCGCAACGCAGAACTAACTTCGTACATAAGTACATCAGTTCATGTTGCCATACCACATTAGCACAGACAGATGTAATTGTCAATTCAAATCCAATAGTAGTAGAGGTAGTAAAGATATTAGAAGTAATCAGAGAGGTTAGGATTAGAAGATATTATTCAAGAAGTATGATTCAGTGAGAAAAGTTTAGAAAGTCAAAACTAGAGGTGTTGGAGAATCCAGAAGATTAGGATTTGAACGAATACAAAGAATGAATGCACTGGCGCCATTGCAAACGGTTTTGAGACATTTCATTTAGGATCTCTAACCATCGATTACTAACATCTCGCGGACCCCAACCAGGTCGTCGACACCCACTGACATGACCCTGTCCACTTGTCAGTGACTTCATGGATTTCTGCCATGTTTTGGATTGGCCGCCCCTAGCTTTCTTCCAACCTATTCCTACACCGCAAAATATAACTCGACGAGGCAGTCGGTGGTCGGGAATAACACATGTCCCAACCACCTCAACTGCGGAAGTTTCAATATTTCATGAATTGAACTGCCATTCTTACCTAGCACCCGTTTCCTAATAACAGCGTTGCT